CATTAACAATAAACTTCTTTCATTCAATCACGGGGAAGAGTATGAAATTGCAAGTGTAGATGAGATGGAAGCATGGCCAAACGTAGTGCATAGTGCTTACTAGCTCTCAGATAATTATTAGAACTATATTGTTATCTCTGCAAAGTCTACTGAGAAAATTGTTAAAACCAATTTGTTTCTTTATTTCCTTTTTGTTTTTTGGTTTTTGTTTTGGAGTTTTGTTGACTCTTGCGAATTACATGAATACATGTTGATATTTCTTTTGTTTTTTGTAGAAAAAGTTGGTCACTGGACCATGTATTGGGCATGAACTACACGGATCCCATGGGAAAAAAAGAAAAGAAAAAGGACTTTGACAATTTTGGAGGAATATAATTTTTACTTTGAAAATAGGTTTTATCTTCTTTTTCTAATTTAGTAAATGCATTTCGAAGAAGTATTTCAATGCATTTGGCATACGGCTAGTTAATTTAAATTTTCATATGTCTTAGGTATGAATTACTTCTTCGACTTGATATCTAGAGTTATAATTCTTTGTATAGATATTAATTTTAAATTAAGAACTTTAGTTTACTTTTTTTTAAAAAATAAATAGAGAGGTTGGGATGACTTTCAGATTCCAATTGACTCTAACAAACTCAAGGGATATACTAAAGAGGTATGTTTCGAGCCAACCAGTGCTAGATAGTACAATGCACCCAAGGGGTATACCAAGGGATAGACATATGTACTATCCAGTTCTCTAGTTTCATCCCTTAATTTTTACTAATAAAGTATCAAAAACAAATGACAGAGTATAAGTCGTACCATATTACATCACTTAGACTTGCTACGGATATAAGGGAAGGAAGACTGGTCTAGGACCAATAACCCTTTTACAAAATTAGGCAAAGAAGCTAAAAATAAATGCTTTTCTAAACAACCAGAGGATGCTATCTTAGCTAAGCTATGTGCAACCGAATTCACCTCTCTCTATATATAAGCAACATGTTACTCATGTCTCTTGATGACATAGAACATTTCCTGAAACATGTGGTAATATTTCGAAGGAAAGTCCAATGGATTTCTCAAAGCATTGGCCAAACTCTGATTATTCGTGTGTAAGCACACATTAGGAAGTCTCAATAGATCACACCTTTGCAAACCATAAACTGCCCCTGCAACTTCAGACATTTAGCTATCTCCTCCCCCTAAATAACCACTCTTTCCATAGACAAAAATGCTTCCTTCCCCGCGAATAACAAAACCATATCCTGCTTCTTCTAGACTTGATGATCCATCCGAATTCAAGACATAGGAGTTAGGGTTTGGAGGAATCCATTTGACTTCCTTGCAATGTTGTCACGGCTTGCCATTTAAACAAACTCCAAAAAAATTTTCAAAAAAATCTTTTTCCAGCCTTCTGGCCACCTTCAAGTCATGTACCTTTAGCAACATTCCAATCTGATCTTTGATCGCATGAATAATCCTAGACACCTCCATTTGCCGGCCTTCAAAGACAGCCTTGTTTCACGCCTTCCAAGTTTCCCAACAATAACCATTGGTAGAATTGTATGCAATACTCCAAAAGCCGATTTCATATACCCCCTTCGTCACCATCTTTGAAACTTAGAGGCAAACAGACCCAACCATTTTGATACGAAGTATATTGGCAAAGAAATTCCACAACTCTTGAACTTTAGGACAACCAGAAGACGTATGCTCGATGTCTTCATCATACGCTTTGCAAAAGTTAAACATGGATGGCAATATTGGAAGGCCCATGCGACTTAAAATTTCTGAAAAGGCAATAACTTGTTAAGCAATTTCCACACAAAGAAAGAAATTCGTAACGGAACTTGTTTAATCCAAATTTGCCGCGACCAAGCTTCCTCCGCACGTCACCTCCTCATCACTTCATAAGCTGATTTAAACGTGAATTCGCCTTTAGGATTTTGCTGCCAAATCATTATATCATTGCCCTCTTGGAAGCCATGTTCATAACTTTCAAGAAATACTCGAATATGATTAGAAAGGATATTGTGAAATTGTATTAAAAAAAAAAATGTTTGTTACCAAAAAACTCACGGATGGTAATGTCAGGAAGAGGAGGCTGCTGGTGATCCTCATCCCAAATCACCCCAAATTGTGACCAATTGTCAAACCAAAACGAACTTTCTCCCCCTTGAATAATGACTTTGGTATACCTGGCTGCCCTCTTCTCAATTTTTGATACACGATTCCAAGACGTTTTCTTTCCTGCTGTGCTAGACAATGATGCTATGAAGCTGCTCCACAATCCTTTTCTTTTTTTGAATTTCCACCATTGCTTTGCAGTTAATGCGTCAATAACCGCTTAAAAGTCTTGTATCCCCAATCCATTCTCAGAAACGGGAAATGTAAGCCTCTCCCAAGATCTCCAATGGCGCCTATTATCATCATCAACTCCATTCCACAAAAACCTTTGGCACTTTTTCTTCATTTCCCTTATTATCCACGTAGGAGGTGGAAGTGCTGAAAAAACATGGATTGGAATAGAACACAATAAGTGTTTTAACAGTATTAAGTGACCTCCCGGACTTAACAACCTGTTTTTCCAGCTTAGAAATTTAGCATCCATATTATCCAGCAAGAATTGGAAAGTGGCAGCTTTACGTCTTCAATGGTATAATCGGCACCGTAAATATACAAAAGGCAAAGAACCCTTTTGAATACCTAGGGTGTGATTAATAATGCCAATCCTTCGTACATGACAATTTCTGCTACCATGAATGAGCTCTTTTGACTATAACTTTTGACCTGAAGCCTTCTCATAATCACCAAGAAAAGTGTTAATTCAACTTAAGGATTTTTTCAGCCCCCTTGAAAAAATAATCAAGTCATCCGTAAAGGCTAAATGTGACACCACCTTGAACCACGAGGAGTCCCATAACTTGCAATTAATCCATTACTAACCAGATTATTCAGCTTTCTTGACATTGCCTTCGACACCAAGATAAAAAGATATGGCGACAATGGATCTCCCAGTTTAATTCCTCGAGATGATTGAAAGGAACCAATTGGACTTCCATTGATCAAAACTAAAAACCAGCTGTTTCGTAGATTATTCATTATCAACTTCACAAAGCAAGGTGGAAATCCAAATTTAAGGAGTATCTTTTCCAATGAGCACCATTTAACCCGATCAAAAGCTTTCATCATGTCCAATTTCAATATCACATTACTTCCAACTGCCTTCCGATCTAGGAATTGGCATAAATCTTGAGCAAGAATCACATTATCCATTAAATCTCTCCCCTCTAAGAAAGCCAATTGCTCTTCCGAGATGAGTTTCGGCAAGACAACTTTCAGCCTCTCAGTTAGTACTTTAGTAAAAACCTGATTCAGGAAATTACATAAGCTTATTGGCCTATAATCAGAGAAACTACTAACCCATGTTTTTTTTGGAATGAGTGTCATCAAAGTGCTTGCTACTGACTGTGGCAATGGAACTCCTAGCATAAACTCTTGACAAGCCTTCCACAAACCATTTGCTATTATATCCCAACAGCTTCTATAAAAAGGCCTTCCAAAACCCTCAACTCCTGGAGCTGCATCATCATGCAAATTAAAGACCGTCGATTTAACCTCCCATAAAATTACTGGAACCAACAGCAAAGCTCGATCATCAATATCAAGGGCAGTTGGAATTTGATCAAGAAAAGCTTGTTGCGCAACTTCATCATTTTGATCCAAATCCACGCCATTTAGAAGGTCTTTGAAGAATCTGCTCAATTTCAGCCACATTGGTTAACATTATACCTTCACTTGACTGAATTTTGAAGATTCCTTGCCTCATTCTTCGTTCCTTCAAAGAAGCATGGAAAAAAAATGTATTCACATCCCCTTCTTTTAGCCATTTAGCCCTCATCTTTTGCACCCAAAAATCTTCATACTCCTTAAGTTTCTGAAGTAAGGTCGCCTTAGCACCATTCTGGAGAATTCTATCCCGCTCCAACCCCAAGGAATCATACAAACTCTCTAACTGCTGGACATTTGATTCGGCCGCTTTCATGTTCTCAAAAACATCACCAAAAACTTCTTTATTCCACTCCTTCAGTTTTAGCTTCAAGCGCCGGAGTTTGAGTGAAAACCCATGCATTCCATATTGACCTAGAGGCTGATCCCAACAATCCTTAACCGCTGTTTTAAAGTCACTTCTTCTCAGCCACATATTTTGGAAGCGAAACCTTCGGTTTACTCTCTGTATCTGCCGCAAACAAATGCAGAATTGGACAATGATCAGATGTCGTACGATTCAAATTCTCAACTGAAGATTCTGGGAAAGATCATGCCATTCTTTCGACATTAGAACACGATCTAACTTCTTGAAACCTAGCCTGTACTTCTAGTCCCCCAAAATGTAAATTCCTCTCCAACAGCCAATAATTCTAGTAATCCACAATCTTCAGTACATTCATTAAATTCAGTCATGGCCACATTATCTTGCACTGAAATGCCAGAATATTCATCCAACGAACGAATCACATCAAAATCCCTGCCGATCATCCAAGGAGAGTTCAAGTATTGCTGACGAAAATCCACCATATTCTGCCACAATGATTGTCTTTCGAGCCTATTTGATTTGGCATGTACCGCTGAAAAATAGAACTTATCTGGAATCGAGACATGCGATGCTTCAAAGTGCAAAACCTGATTATTATTTACCAACATAGTGGCTGAAATTTCCCTTGAGCAAAAAAACCCAAATCTTGCTGTTTTCCGATGAGAAAGCTGATTGAAACCCTAGCTCGCGCCTTATTTCTTCAAGCTTATTTACTGCCAACATTGGTTCCATAATCATAAGGATCGAAACCTTATACATCCTTACTAAAGTTTTCCAACGACACGGAGTGGCCTGATTTTTAATGCTCTTATGTCCCATATTAGTTGTCCAATCATTGGAAACTATTAATAAAAACCCAGGTTTATTGCAGACGAGATGACCTTTGCGGAGGTACCCCTTCCTGCAACTTGACCATTTATGCCATTGTTCTTCTACCGCGCCTTTTTGTGGAGGAAACCACCCCTTGCGCTGGTTCCCATTCTTGATCACTGTCATCTTCAATGTCTCCTTCTGACCAGCTACCTGGATCAGCACCAAAAAGGTCTTGTTCTTCAGAGAATTTCCCAACATCACAATCATCTGAAAATAAACTCGACGGCAAAACCCTATCATTGCTCAAGGCACTGATTGCTTGTTGAAGCTCACCCAATTTAGGGTTTTCAGGCAAAGAACTTTTAGTTTCAACATTCGGTCGAACAAGCTCCTCTTGGAACACCACTTCTACATTATCTTCTTCCTTATCTGCCTGAGAATCATCCTGGGATTCCAAATCCATCAATGCAAAATGATTGGTTCCAGTCACAATCACAGAGGGAGTCGCAATTTTCTGAGTCGCTAGAAGCACGACTTCCTCAGAAGTCGCTGGGGGCGCGATTTTCTCAGTCTCAGAGGGTGCAACTTCCTCAGTCACTGGGGGGGCACAACTTCCTCAGTCACCAGGGCCGCAATATTCTCAGTCATGGGTAACGCGACTTCCTCAGTTGCAGGGTGGCGCGCAACATTGTTAGTCGCAGGGGGTGCGACCCTACTTCCTCAGTCGCAGGGGTGTGCGCGATCTTTACAACCTCCTGTACCGCCACTTGCCCTTCTTCTATGGCTAGATTGCTAAGCTGCAAATCTTGCAAGTCCATAGGAATACCAGCCTTCTCCTTTTCCGACAATACAGAGGTGGAGGCACCGGCCTTAGCTACATCCGAAACCTTTGAAATCAAATTAAGGTTTCCAGATTTTTTGACAATACTCTTTGGCTGCTGTACCAATTTCGTCGCTGCTTTTTTGCTTGACTGCCTCAATGGTTTTCTTGCAAGGCCTTTCTTACAGTCATCAGACTTATGGCCAATTACAGCATTTAGAACAATAGACCGGAACGTGTTCATTCGTAAAAAGCTGCTCATGCTTCTTCCCTCTTTTCCCAACCTTTACTGATTTTGGGAAATCCTTCGTCAAATCAACCCTCTACACAAAATCTCGTAACCGAAGGCCGTGTTAAATTTAGAGTTGGCGCGTCAACCTAAATGGTCTACCAATTGCTGTAGCCATGGAGAAACTAACCTCCGGGTTTAAGAATTCAATAGGGAGATCCAGAAGAGACACCCAACTATGGACAATCGGCAGATTTTTTTGAATTTGAAGATGGGTTTCCATTTCAGTATCCTCATCGAGAATCCGGATAAATCCCAGAATATGCGCATCTAACAGTGATGATAATCATCCTCCCTTTCAGAAGGTATTAAAACATGCCTAGGGTTCATCAACCCTAAGGTATAAGGACCGTGGAATCCAATTTTTTAAAATTCTTTATGGATCTTTTCCATCTTTGGGCATCCATATGAGAACTTACCAGCCAGACTCAGTTGATGCGGCGCTATCAAACGCTCATATTCCTCATCTTCATACTCAATTATGGGTGTACCATTTACAAAAGAAACCGGCTTGATAAGCGTTCCTTTTTGGGGTTTGTCAACAAGGGGTTTGTGGAATAAGCTTGCAAAGGTTGGGGGAAGCCCAGTGGGAGCATTCCCCGAATGATTTCCGGCCACCTAGGGTTTCTACAAAGGCGGCCGCAAGAGAGAGAGAGAGTTAAGAGAGAGAGAGAGATTATAGAACTTTATTTTACTTTTTCTCTGATGTTGGATGATCCTTCATATGGAAAATTTATATTATTTGCAAGATAAATTTGACTATATTCTTATTTACAGATGTCTAAATATAGATTTGTTTACTATTTTCTTCTATGGCTGGTGAATTTTCCAGAAATATTAGTATCTAGAGCAAACTTTGCTCTATTTTCCAAATTTGTCCCTTGTAAAGTCAAAGGCATTATATTTACACCTTATCAGCTAATTAATTTTCCTTTTTTCCCTATCTCTTTCCATCTCATGCCGCCCCTCCCTATGCCGCAAGAGGTTGCCGGCGCCAAACCTTTTCAACGTAGTTAAAGGGAGGATACAATGCAATCTACTAAGGAAAACATTCAAACCATTTCAATCATTTCTTTTTTCTTCTTCGATGTTTTTCTTCTATTTTATAAAAAATGTGAAAGGAAAATATTATAAAAAATTTAAAATTACCAATACAGCTAAGCCAAACAAAGCTAAAAATAGACAAGTTATTACATGGATTGCGAAGTTCCTCCATAGTTAGAAGCAAATAAAGTGGAACATTAGTCGGGGTGGGAGGGTTGGGTGGGGTTGTTAGAGGATTAGGATGGGGGATGGTTATTACCGGAAAGTCGATGGTTCAATTCTCCCCATCCAATTTTTTTTTTTCTAAAAAAAGTGGAACATTAGTCAGTCTATTAATTAGAAATGAGAGTAATGCAGAATTGTCTTGAACCACAAAGTTAGACATCATGGGGACAAAGCCCAAGCCAAATTCAACTCTTTCATCTGTTAGCTTGTTGTGAATGCACTTTGCAAACTGAAAGGAGGGGCAAATACCACAAAATCAGAGGCAGATTTCCTCCCTCCCCTTCCCCCAAAAATCTCCATGAAAATAAGAAGATCCACCAAAACGAGGAAGAAACACAACTACTCTCAATCACAATAAATATACCACCAAGATCCCAATTGCATAATTGAAAACCATCACTTCAGAATTGATCGAATTTCCATGAAAGACCTACCTTAACAATTTCAAGTAAAAAGTTTACCCTTCTAGTTATGAACTCATAGAGAAGGCGGAAGAAGAACTTGGCGACAGTCATCAACTACATAGAAAAGGATGTCGGCAACTATCGGTGGAATCGAGAGCTGTGAGGGGAGGGAACAAAGAAAAAATATGGTTGATAATAATTGTAAGGCAAATTTGGAAAGTAAGGCAAACTTTGCACTGGATGCTAATAATTGTTTTTGCAAAATCATCGCCCTTCTTCTATACGAGCTCATTGTTTTGTTCGGCAAGAAGAATGACATAAATTAATTCCGAATACTTTTACTTAGAATAACAGGAATTGTATTTCAACATATTCTGATGTACAATATACCTAATATATATAGGCAATAACAAAACGCTATACACAAGGCTATTATAGGAAATACATATATGAAAATACGGCCCCACGAACTGACGGCGGATAAGAGAGAAGCCAAAGTTTGTCCTTGAAACGAAGGAATAAATCCTTGGAGAAGGGCTTGGTCAGAATGTCAACAATCTTATCACCAGCAGACATAGAGTGTACCCAAATAAACTTCCACCGAACATGATCTCAAACAAAATAAAAACCACCTCAACATGTCTGATACGGGCATGAAACAACGGATTAGCAACAAGAAAAACTATGCTATTGTTGTCACACCAAATAGAGGGAGAACGACACAACAAAACACTCAACTCAGACAACAGATGATGCATCCAATGCAGCTCAACACATACATTAGCAATCGCACTAAAACTCAGCCTCAGTAGATGAGTGAGCCACCGTGGGCTGTTTCTGAGATACCCATGCAATGAGATTAGGTCCCAAATAAAGGAGAAAACTAGTAATACAACTAGCCCAATCAGCATCATTAAAGGCAGTAAGAGCGCCCAAATCAGTGGGATACAGAACCAAATAGGAATCACGATGCCATAATGATAGCAAAGGACCCATTTGACATGCCTGAAAATGAGATTTGCGGGGTTGATGCATGAACTAACCAAGCTTATTAACCACAAAAGAGATATCCGGTCAAGTGAGAGTGGTATACTACAGACTCCCACAAAGCCACCTATAGGTGGTCGCATCATTAGGATACAACTGAGTACTATTCAAACGGTACAATACAACACCAGCCTGCATAGGAGTCGACATAGGCTTGCAAGTATGAATATTGGCAATCCGTAGTAAATCAGTGGACCCAGGATGTGTGATGAGAGAGGAGCAAACCCCAGGATGTGTGATGAACCTCGACACCAAGAAAATAACTCAGAGGACCCAAATTCTGAAGAGAAGACTCCTTATCAAGGCAAGAAATAAAATTTTGAACCAAACTAGAAGTGCTGCCTATAATAATAATGTTATCCACATAACTAGCAGAAAACACAACTACGACGGTACACAAAGAGGAAATGATCACAACGAGACTCCACAAATTCCAAAGTGACTATAAACACTGCCAACTAGGAATATCAGGCCCGAGGAGCTTGCTTAAGCCCATATAAGGAGTTATGCAGCTTGCACACATAATGAGGGTGCACCGGATCAAAAAAACCCTGAGGCTGAATCATATAGATAGTTTCACTCAGAACACCATGAGCCAAGGCAACTGTCAAAACTGAGCGAATAGTGATCAGCTTAACAACCGGACTAAAAGTGTCAGTGTCATCAACCCCAGAAGACTGAGTGAAGCCTCGAACCACCAACCGAGCCTTATAGCGCTCGATGGAACCATCAGTGTGGGTCTTAATCTTATAAATCCATCAATTTCTGGCAAAATTGTCGGAGGAAGGAGGGGGAACTAAGGTCCATATGTTATTTTTTAGAAGGGCAGATTTCATCCTTCATGGTATTTTGCCCCAAAGGAATAGATTTGGCTTGAGTGAAGGATATAGGAGCAACAGGCAGTGGTGGTGAAACAGAGGTGGCGGAGGGGAAGTGGACTCAGATAATGGGGAACTGGAGATAAGACGTTTAAAGGGAAAGAGTTGCTCATCAACACGACATGAAGAGTAATATAGAATCAATTATTCACAACATTAAAGTAGCGATAACCAACATGAGACAGAGAATATCCAAGAAAGACACACTGAGTAGAGCGAAAAGAGAATTTATGTCGATTATATGGGCGAAGAAGAGGACAGACAGCGGAGCAAAAAATGCGAAGAAAAGTATAATCATGTGGATGGTGATATAGTGTAGTGAAGGGTATTTGACCATGAAGAGGTATACTACAGTGGCGATTAATCAAGAACACAACAGTTTCAAAGACAAAGTCCCAAAAGCAAAAAGGAGTACTAGAATGACTGAGGAGAGCAAGGCCATGTCAACAATGTGACAAATTTTGCGTTGAGCAGTGCCATTCTGCTCTTGAGTGTGAAGGCACACGAAACGATGAACAATACCTACATCATATTCTTTCTACGATATTGCTGCTGCAGGAGGATATTAGATGCGTGAAATGTGGTATACGTTTTCTCCAATATCTCCACATCATAGATCTTTTCACCTCACAATTTCAACAAGAAAGTGATTTAATACATTGTTGATTTGTATTCTCTAACAAATTTAAAATCTTATAGACGAAGATGCATCCACTCATAATGAGCTCTTGGCAAAATAATAGTTTTTTTTTTATTGTCATACGTTTCATTAATAATAATCCATAAAGTATATGAATCTTTCACAATTAAATACTCTACTTTCAGATCTTCATGAAGGCAGTGACATATTAAGATTTGGGCTTCGGTTTTCTCCTAATTTATGGCATTACTTCCTACTTTGATTGCTTCTTCTAAGCCATTGGAAGTGAGATTTATTTCAGCATCAAGAACCCATGACAAGTCGTTCTCTCCAGAGATGTCAAGAGGGACAAATTCAAGTTACACAAGAGGTATTTTCATAAAAATGAACCAAAACAATTGACGATACTTACCCAATCAAATCTTGCTAGATGCTGAGATTCATGCTGATAACGTGTAATGAATAAACTAAAGAATAGCGATATAGAAATGTAAAGAAAGAACCCATGAGAGAAAAGTTGAGAGAAAATTGATCTGAGTTTTTATATAGCTTTTGTGTCTTGCAAACATCCACATTAGATAATTATAACAGTGCGTAATTTTCTGAAATTGTTTTAAAGATATTTATTTAACAAGTGAGTGCTCCTCCAAATTCACAAATGAACCCTGGAAAAAACCCAAATCCAAAAAATCTGGGAGAAAGAACAATTAACAAAACTTCAAATATAAAACAAAA